TGAGTAGGGTGGCTTGATGGCCGCCTTGCATTCCTCAGAATCAGGAGAAATAGCATCACTATTAGAATGCTGGTTCCGCTGGATGTTGCGTTGAGTGGAGTTTCCCGACAAGGACATTTTTCCAATGTTGTACACATTGATTGGTCCATTAGTACCTCAGCGAGCACCTTTTGCCCGCCAAAGCTACACATCACGATCGAAGGCCTATGGAATATATTCAGTGGAAATGCAAAAGATTACGCTTTGGCATACACTTCGGTTCCTTAGTACCATTGACGACAATGCGGGATATTGCAAGTAGGGGCTCAAGGACCGCTTCTGTTGGGGCCGCCGCCCAAGTCTCGCCCACAACATAGGCAAAATTGTCACTAAAAGCAGGTTTGCGGATCAAAATCTTAATTTTGGCAATACACAAAATTTGACTGCAGCCTTAAGCTTTATGATCATGTACTGCTGAAATTAGAATTGGAAGTTTGGAACAGAATTCGGATTTCAAAGGAATGGTGATAAAAAACTCCAAAAGTTATATGAGAAGTAGAGTTTTTGGTATAGTTCAAACTCCTCCTTGTGTTTTGAGGCTATGAAAAGGACGTGGAGGTTTCTGACCAGTAATTCATCTTAAGCTTAATAATGTATAACACTACTTAATATGTCGCCGAGCGAAGTGCCGCATTCTAAAATTTCATGCAAAATAGCTAGTATCAAACATTTCTGTAAAATATATTGAGCATAGATATAACGAGAATTGCTTATAATTGCAGGCATGTTGAAAAATGTTTTAAGATGCGAAAGGAAGAAAATTTTAGGGTGGCATCCACATTGGTGCCATTGTACCACGGATAAGTTGGCACACCCAAAAGTCGGGTGCATCTGTCGCCCAAAGGGTAAAACAACAGGTCCCAGCCGCATGTTTTCTGGCCTTGCCGTACAAATAAGTGATGGGAACGATGCGCTAGCCTTAGTGAAAAAAATTTGAGGAAAATGACTGAACAAAAACTCACCTATGAAAACCGGTAGAAAAGAAGGTTGATTGCGCTTCGAAGTGGACGTATTGCCGGATCGGCCGAGGAGACGCACACCCACGCCACTTTGAAAGCTCTTCGGTCTCCTCCCACTCCAGCTTTCCAAGGTGCATTTGTTTAGTCTGCCTCTTGGACTAGGGGCTAGCGCATCGCTTCCACTCCAATATCGTTACAAAATCCTGCTGTGGCTGCTGCACACAACACTTTTGCTTAAAATCTGTTGCAATCTGAGCCAACGAGGGAAGGAAAAAGCACTCCCTAAATTATTGTTCCTGATTCGCTCACATTTTTGGTACTTAAATACTGATCTAAAGGGGATACTCCTGATTTTAAAAGTTGAAATTGCAGATAAACAATGCCTGTGCTTCTGGCTCTTCTGGACTCTACTTGTGTAAGCAAATCATCGAGAGTGGTGAGTAGCTGAAGCACACAGAGAAGGTTGCTGGTGGCGATAGGTCGAGAGCATTTGGTTGAGAAACTTTTTCCCGGCACCGCTTACAAAAGCAGTGGTACTACAAATTATCCCATAATCGAGATTGAACAATGGAGCTGATGGGAGCTACAACACTGAAGAAAAAAACCAAATAAACTACTCGAATTTCGCAGAACAGGCGCCCTTTTTGTTGAGCGAAAGACAGCCCGTTGCGAGGAGCCGACGTGCCACATGACTGCTGACGTCTATGAAATGATCGCCTCTTTTCCTAGGCTCTCTAGCTAACACAGCTATAGCGGCGGGGTTCAACAGTTGGGGTGACCAATTGATGAGCATAGGAATAGGAAAGGCCTTGCAGAGCCGTTACAAGCGCGCTTCTCACCCTCGAAAGTGCGACGTTTTGAGTTCTTGAGACCGATATTCCCTTTATGCAAAGTACATTTGCCTGCTTCCTTCAGTATATATTTTCAATCCTCTTTCTGGGAAAAGAAAAGAAAAAGCCACGTTTTTCTTGGCCGTCGTCACCTATGGTGTGTGGTGCGCACTCGACGCTCTTCTTTACCGAACCAGAAGGGTATTTATGAGAGTACAAATGGCGGGTGAGTGTGAATACGGAAACGACTGGAAGGCCCAACGTTGTAGAACAGTCACGAGGATACTGAACGTAAGTGAGCTGGACCCAACTGAGTTGAACTTGGACGCGTGATAAGACTACGGCCCACCACTACACTCTAGTGTTCAACGGTGATTGATTATCGCAAAATGCTCTGTTTGGAAGACAGATTGTAAGTAGTAGAATGTAGCGTTGGAAGAGAGTTTGGGAAGTGGCATGATGAGCATTTTGAAGGAATCGAGAAATGCGCAAAAAATCCCAAACAAATAAATTTCATGCCTGGTTTTAATTTTGAAAGGTGTAAAAAATAAAAGATTGTTAGGTAATGGTGACACCCCACAATCGTGTCAAGAAGATGAAAGGTGATGGGAACCAGTTAGTAATGAGTTTTAGGGTTGAACTGAGCAAATTCCATTCGATTGGACAGAGAATGAATACTTTAGTAAGGTCGCAAAGCTGTTCTTATTCAAAAAGTAAGTGTCCAAGCAACTAGAGTAGCCCTAACTGTGGGAGCAAAAGCGATATTAAACAATCTACATAATAATCAGTGATCTGAATACTCAACGCCTGACAAGGAGCGTTGGTGGACAGCGGTCGATTTGATAAGAACGATCAATGTTAACATCCTGTTTGCGGAGATGGCCTAGCGCCATTTTATCAGGGTCGGAACAAGGGACATCTTTGGTTTGTTGTCTGTTTTCGCGCGAACCTATAACTTTATACAATAAATTTTGTTCTATTATATAATAAATTTTTAGGTGCAATACAAGTGCAATGGGCACACCGAATTTTTTGAATACGGTAGGCGCGAAATGTATGTAGGTGGGGACTGCTGTCTTCCACTGGTCTCCGGACATCTGTCAACCGTGAGGCTAGGCAATTCAGCGTTTTGTTGTGCTGTCTGGGAGCTCTCACACAAGCGCACTATTACAGAATCTCCGCTTTCTTTACCTCCTTCAAAAGGCTTAGTCCCACTACCACAAAGAACGTCTGCTTTTCCTTCTACACTCTCACCCCTGGTTGACAAAAACCATGTAACCTCTTCCACTACGATGTGACGGGACGCTATGAAATAACGCACACATTCCAGATTTTCACGCATGTCAAGTGACTGTCCTCAACCCTACCCCGTATATTGGCTACACTACCCCTGGCTCACGAATTTCCTCAATTCTCATGAGACCGTAATAACTTAACAGAGTGAATAGGTCTTACCGTATTTAAGGGATTAGTCCGTGCCTTCTCATTGTGCTGACACCGTTCTAATTCGAGTATATAAATAATACCTAAGGAATTAACCAATCTCCAAGTACTGGTGGTCTGCGATGGCGCGTATTTTCGGAAACTGCAGTGGCGACAAAGAATAGTAACCACGGTGTGTCAAGCTTTTTCAGGCCGATGTCAGACTTTGCGAATCACGCGACTCGCTAGCGTCCGCGGTCGCGTTGCGGTACCAGCCAATTGAGTGATTCACTGGCCGCGACGCGACCGCAGACGCTAGCAATTCGCGCGTATTCGCAAAGTCTGACATTTGGTCTCAAATGATTTCTTGCATGACATTGGGGCACATATGGGGACCACAGAAGCATGGTTCATTTTTCCTGAACGGCCCTCTGAATACCAGAAAAGGGGTCCCTAGTTCGATTCCTCGTGGTGACAAGTTTTTGCATTTCGTGTTGACGTTTCCAAATTCGCGCAAAATGGAGTTAGCATGAATAATTAGTACCATATTCATCGTTAGGTAAACTTAAAATAGACTGGGTTTTGAAAAGCAGGGTTTTTTTGAAAAAGATTGACTAGGGGACCCCTTGTTGCTGTTATTCAGAGAGAGTTCAAAAATAATTCAACCATGGTTCATTGGGGGTTCCAGCAATTACCATATACTATATCAGCAACCCGTTATCATGCAAAAAGAACCGTTGCTGAAAACGCTTGGACGCCCTGAAAGACTTCCTTGTTTGACTAAGCCTTCAGCTGTGAGCAGGGACGAACGCGCCGCCACCCGCCGCGAGGGGGCCCCACCACCCCCTCAACTAAGTTAGCACATTCGGAGGAGTTTTCGGGTTTCTTTTTCATACTTAGTTACTTTGATACTTTGATTGATTGATTGATAGCCCATCAACTGACGTTCTTCTCAATGGGGACCACTGCTGTTCCACATGACCCGATTCTTGGCAACTTTCATCCGATGTGAGGCCGCGTTCTCTGAAATATTTTGAAAACGATCGGCTCCATCCTGTCATCAGTTTGGTGGAGTAATACTGTACAGTTTTCGGCTATTCTCACTGGTTGTGGTGAGTCTCTGAGCGTGAGCTTCAATGGACTCCAACTCGGGCAGCCTCGCATTTCTCTCGCTTTTGCAGTTATACGTTGTAGTGGTTCCTGGACACTTTCAAGTATTTATTTTGGCGGTTGAGGACATAAATAAATTATAGCAACAAACAAATACATGGAAAGATTTTTCATACAATCAATATATGTATATCACAAATGAATAACACAAAAGCATAAAACAATACCCGATTTAAAATCACAACACAGTGAAAGTCTGCCAACAACAAAGGGAAAATCTACCGGATTTCTGAAGACAAACTGACGACTACACATTCAAATGCCACTTCGATTATCACTAGGAGTAGAATGCATGGCGTATACCGAACGAACAGCGATTTACTTATTGAAGAGGCGAGCAAGCTTGAAGTTCGCCATAATTATTTAACAGAACTGACTAGCTGGTTCTATTAGGATACGGCGTACATCGGTTGAATGTTTGGCAGCACACGAGCAAAATTTGGCACAAAAATATTCGGCACATTTCAAAGGCACATTCAGATCATTACAGTAAGACATATGTTTGTCATGATTAATCAGATCACACCTGAAGAAGGAGAACGGAAGTGAAACTTGAAGTTCTGAAAGCTCAGTGGAAGCGTCAAACGCAGATGTCATCATCGTGGTGGTCGCGATCGGGTTTCCTTCGCTTCGCATGCTGTTTCGGTTTTGTATGAGTCGCTTGAGAAAGTATGTACATGGGACAGATCCAGCATTTACAGATGGGTATGATGATTTTGGTGAGCACCACGTAGACGACCACCAAAACGCAAACGTACACCAACACATCGGTGGCCATCATCACGAATTCCCCAAGCGATGACACGCCATTTACCCACGACATCGGGTTGAGATACCTGAAATCAACTGATTTAATATCGGCGCACTATGGCAAAATTCTTGAAAGAAATTCTATTTATTTCTTGAAGAAAATTCTATCTTTGAGGGATCGCTGGAACCCTGGGAGGGGAGGCAACGTGAAAGCTTTGGATACTTTTTTTACTTCTTACTGCTAGTAATTGGTGTTGTGACCGCGGTCAACATTTTATTTGATGAATACCAAGGAAAGAAGGGCGGGCCACTTTATGAATTTGATATGTTCTAGGCGTATGTTCTTGGATAGTAAGGTCCTTAAGAAAGGTTTTCAGAGCAAATGTTTTGGCAATAATGTTTCGGAAGATATAGAACTTTGGGGAGTGTTGCGAATTTCCGGGAGATACAAAACTTCAAACTTTGGTTTACAGAATTGAAGCTCCTTTTTTTTCCACCACACTACGGGTTGAGAGATGGAAATTAGGCTTGCGGGATGATTCATCCAAGGACTCGCTACCATAGGAAAACCGGCTGTTGGCACGCTGACCTCGTACAGGACGGAGAGGTATGAGGCCGGGCGCGGCGCGGCCGGGCGTGGCCGCCCGCTGGCGCTATTTCCTTGGGTTACGTGATTTCGATTGTATATTATTTGATTTTTAATCGGAGAAATTCTCGTATCAAAACCCGTTCTCGATTGATGTTATTGTCCGTTTGGAAATGATAGGCATTAAGATGCGGAAGTAGCACCGGACAGAGTGAGGAAAACTTGAAGGCGACCTATAGAAACCCTAAAACAAGGCGTTATTCTTCTCGCTTTAGGTCCAGTGAGTGGTGTGACGGAGATACGGAAAGCGGGGAAATAGGGTGAGGGCCGAGCAGGAGCCAGTCCGTACGGAGCAGGGCACAGACACCGCTTTATGTATAGTGAGTCGCTGAGTTTATAATATGGCGCGGTTTAATAGTCGAGGGAAGACCTGTGTAGGGTTCTTTCGAGTGACGAAACTGCTACAAACCCTGCACTAAGGTATGCTACTACCTCACTCAGGGAATTGTTCTAAGAGATCTAGTCACGACCGGCGCCTTGAACTGTTACCAATTCGTAAAAAATTAAATTCTGTTCATCAATATTTTGTGGTCAACTCGATGTTAAAAATAGGGGAGTTTTCATGGAGTTGTTAGCTTTGTTGTTAGTTGCCTTTTCGGAAATCTTACAGCAAAGAACAGATGGCAGAACCCTCGGAACCGTTGTGCAAGCAAAGTAGAAGTCTTGAAGAGTCGTAAGCCGTTCATTTAATTCATTACTACTATTATTTTAAAGAGGAGGGCGGAAGTGGTGTAGTGACAAGTGGCGCGCTCACCACGCGAGCGGTCCGGGGATCAAATCCTGGGTCGTGAGTCGCCCGGGCCAACCAAGCCTTCCATCCCTCCGGGGTCGGTTAATTGGTACCAGACTTGTCTGGGAGGATAAAAACACTGACTTGAACATCGGCTGGCCCCCGCAAGTCATTGTATAGGCCACATCGCATTCAAACGCCACTACGAATGTACAAATGGAAGTAGAATGCGTGCCGCATCCCAAAAAGGGATTGATCAACGGCAAATGCTTTATCCTTTATTTTATTCTCTTACTAATTTATTTGATTCACTTCTCATTTAGTTTTTGATTTTGTTTAGATTTCAGAGGACTTACTTGGAGAAACCGGTGAGGTTGATCTGATTACAAGAAGGACAGCTGCCGACCATTTCATGCCAAGTGTTCTGCTCGATATCAATCTGAATGTAAAATTTCAAATACTCCTAAATCTTTGTTTTACTTTGATGAATGAGCGGTATTTAGAAGATGCTGATTGCGCTTTGAAAATGTCCTTTTCACTGATAGGCAAAGTTTTCAATAAGCAAGCAAGAAATCCGCCCAGAATACAAGTGCATCGCTCCTCCTGCTGTCTCTTGAAGTAACTCTTTCTTCAGTAATCCATATCACGGTGCTATACAAGTGGGATGGGCACGCAGTATTTTTTGAATACGGTAGGCGCGAGAAGTATGTAAGTGGGCTGCTATGGTGTCACAAGAATTGAGAGAATTCGTGAGCCAGGAGGAGTGTAGCCAATCTACGGTTGGGGGGAAGGTGAGGGCAGTCACTTGACATGCGTGAAAAGCTGGAATGTGTGAGTTACTTCATAGCGTCTCGTCACGTCATAGTAGTGGGCAGCAGTCCCCACTTACATACATTTCGCGCCTACCGTATTCAAAAAATACGGCGTGCCCATCCCACTTGTATTGCGCCCATATCACATTTATGCATATCCGTTGACGTATTCATAGAGAATTTGTCCAGGTCAAACGAACCTCGAGTGGAGTCTCGTAGTACTGCACAATCCTGCACACAGCCTGTTCCTCGCGTTGTTCATCGGCGTACATGCAGATCATTCGCGAGCCAGATTCCACTATTGCCGGCATTGGGATGATCATAGATCTATTGGAGGCCTGAAAAGGACTTTCTGGCTATGATCAAACCATTGCTATACACTTATGGATAGTAGGCTCACTCACATTAAGATCATGTACGTAAGTGGTGAACGAGAATATCTCATCAGAATCTCTTTCAGTTGAGTATTTCACAGCGCCGTTGATTTTGCCCGAAGCGCCATAGACGGTTACATTGAAGTACCTTGAAATAAATTTATAAGTGATAAAAACTTAACCCATAACCGGTTTTTTATAACTCACTTGTTGCTTCTCGAGTCGACAATTATTGTGCCCGTGAAGTCGGATATTCTCGAAGAGTTGTGAAAGAAGACCAGTCGATGTCCGTCGACCTCGCCGTTCACTAAATAAACGGTGATTTACGGTATGCATCGAACAGTGAGAGTGAATGATCAGGTCAGGGAGAGGTGTTAATGAGAACATTGACTGCTACGGCGCAAGTGATGCGCGCGTATTATGCATCAATTCTGCAAGTTCAAACGTGAAGTGGGGAATTTCTCAAAAATTTACGTCCATCCACAAAGGGGGTCTCGATACACCTCTCAGCCCCCCCCCTCTCCACTACCACTACAAATGAAGGGAGTCACCCAAAAATACGATCCCCTCATCCCCAGCACCACCCTCACCGGCATAGCTCTATACCATTTGATACTGGAACAAAAACGACACATTCCAACTCTAGTTTGGTTCAAAAGTTCGCTTCAAAATAGCCGCTAGAGATCAGACGTGGAGAAGAGCGCGTGCCCGGGGGAAGGGGGAGGGGTGAAATAGCTTGAAACGGCGGCAATGCCATAGTTTGCCCATTCCATGTCTTGGTGAAAATTTCAAATTTAGTTAGAACTTGTCGAAAACCGCTCAAAAGCATCTTCCCTTCTTCCTCATCCACTCAAGCATGCCCGAAACGTTTGCCACCATCGTTTGCCATCTGGAGATCTCTTCCATGTTTTCATCTCGCCCTCCCTCTCCTGCCCATATCACACTACAGAAACGGAATCCGACCCCTCTTAAATCCTACATACGGACACTCTCCGTTGGTAACTTATACGGACCGCTGATCTTGGTACTGATCCACAGCACTACACGAGGGGTATTGTCGACATGATCATATAGTAAGTTCCATGCGCATTGGGTAGATACTGTTGCCGCACTCTTCTGACCCACACCCAGATAGCTGAATCGAAGAAAAGCATTTTGGTACTGCGGAAAGAAGCTCACCTTGCAGAGTGACGTGAAGATTCGTGCCTTCAGCATGAGTGACGATCACTTGCCGTTGGAGAGCCATCAGTAGACTCGGGCGCTTTGAATCCACGGATATACCATCTCTAATGGTTTCGACAGGTTGAAGTTACCGGGCATCTAAATATGCATTCGTAGAAGAACTGGTAAGAGTAAAAAAAGCAAAAAAGTTCCAAAAATGGATTCAAGGCGATTTTTTGATCGGTCGGCCTGACGGACGTCAGACGAGAACAAAACCATTTACGAATTCTCTGGATGAATCCCGAAATGAGCAGCTGGCTGCCTCCAGTAGCATTTTTTTTGCATCACAATACGCACTCTAAGCTTATTATGATTATTACTGCCACTGAGAAACTACATTAAACAGAGGCCACAGTTTTCTTGATTTGCCGAAGTACGTAGTCCAACATCCACAACCGCAATAGCCCAGGGACATGCTTCACAGATAAGAGAAATCCGGGTTATTGGTCCTTCGAGTCAGAGTGGTGCAGGCTTGAATTCGACAATTAGACCTCAAGACCATTTTAAGGATTTAAATGAAATTATATGGAAGCACAACCCTGCTCAGATGAGTTCTTCAAGCTGACATTTCCGATAGTGCATCGCATCCGATTCGCTCCCGGCACAACGGTTCGCCCGTCCTAACGGGATTCAGATCGACACTGTAACACTTGGAGCTCCACTCTTACAAGTACCTTGCAGGCAGCAGTGCACTCTCGTTTAGTTCTCAATGAAGATCCCACTAAAGTGGAAAAGGTGCAGCGGAAAGTGGCACTGCTCACCGCGTGCATGGCGCGAGGATCAATCCTGGATTGGCGCTGTCCAATTTAACCTTGGTATCCTCTGGGTTTGTGTAATTGGTACCAGATTTGTTTCAGGAACAAAAAAACACTAACTTACATTCGCTATACCCCGTAAGCCATTATTGAGGCAAAAGCATTCGAAACGCTACCACGATTCCGAATTGAAGTATAGTGCATGGCTCACACCAAACACATTAGACCAAAAGACACCAGAAAGCGCAGAGCGCTTCAACCTTTCGTCCTTCAAATCTTTCCAGCTTGTTTAGAGGGGATGCGATGGTTAGCTTGGCGCAGTGGACAAGCACGATCCTATGAAAGCGGAATTGCGATTTCAAATCCCGTACAAAGCTGAGTGCGAGTAAACCCACACCTCAGCTTTCCTACGATGATTAAATATGCAGTGAGATATGCGACAAAACAGAATGAGCTGAGTAAAAGATTAATAAAATTCCGTTTGGGATAAATTCTGAAAACTTACGTAGTTTTTTGCGTCAATTATACTTCGGTAAGTTTGTTCATGACAATTTTTCACCTAAAATATAAAACTGCTATTCGCTGAAGCATTGCTTGAACCTTGGAAAACGTAGAAGCTATCATTTCGTACCTTCGCCTTATGGATTTCTTCCATTTTGACAATACCATTATTCACATGAAATTTGCCGTTCTCATCCATCCTGTACCAACCGAGTCGATCAAAACTGAAATCCACAAAAATTAATTGGTTGAGATTCCAGCCTAGCACAATCTTCGATAGAGTCCGTTGTATGACCAAAGCGATATAGTACAGGACAGCCCCGTGCTGGTGATGTGGTACATTCAGATAGGAGGCTAACTCACTTGTTATCAGTGATTTCATTCAGAGGTTGTTTTCTCAATTCATCCATCTCGCCGCCTGGATTCGATATGGCGAAGTACATTCCCTGTCTCCAGCTGATGAGAAGCACGACCTCCAGCGGACACAGACAGAGCGATCCGTTTCAGAGTGTCCAAATACCTAGAATGACCATTTGTCCATCAGTATTTTAGTATTGTTTATATTATTTGTATTTGCATTTGTTCATCATAAATGTGCCGCCTTGTTAGAAATCATCCTTTCGCCGCGTTACAATTTATTTAATGGAATTTGTAGGGCAGATGGAGCCACAGAACGCCTGCTTTTCCGCTTATATTCGGCCTACAAATTTAGCCATACCGCATGATGCACACGTTGCACCACAGCCACAGCTCGCAGACTGATTGCAGAGGAATCAGTTCTAGGACCTTTCGTGAAGGTTCAGATGATGCTTGGGGTTAGGTCGCACTTGTCCTTGACTTTTCAGGCCTCCGACGGCAAATAAGGTCGAAACGTTAGCCGAATAAAAGATTATTATCTTGGTT